GTTTTGCTTTTCCAAGAGACAAGGATGGAAGGAAAACAATGCCACCTTCTAGAGGAGAACCGTGTGGTCTGCCGCCTTCCTAATATGGCTCTGGAGGGTCAGCAGGCAGAGCACTCGGTATTTGCATTCGTATTCTTATTTCAAGAGATCTGTGATGCTGTTTCAGTGTAAAAATACAGCACCTGCCAGCTGACTTTTCTCCCTGATTACTCCCATCCTATTAGCTACTGTGTTTTCCTGTCCAGGTTTCTATTTTATTATTATTTTTAAAATATGAATGGAAGGTCAGGTAATACTTTCCATATTCTATAATAGGGTTGGTCCTGGAAGAATCTTAGAAAAAAAAAATCTTTCAGACATTGGCTTAACATAGAACAAAAACATCTCAAAAACATTTTTTTTTTCCTGGTTTCTCTGAGGAGAAACCAAACAGGAAAGTCTCACAGTAGCTATTTGTTATCTTCTCTGTCTCCAGCCCCCACCGCTCCCCCACCATCAGGGAGAGATCATTTCGCTCTGCCGCAGACACTGAAAAATGCTCAGGAGGCACTTGCAGGTCCCAGGGCCACAATTGCTAAGGCCAGGGAGCCAGGGAACTCTGTGCTGCCATCTAGTGGCGCATCTTCGACACAGCAGGTTGCTTGCCAGACTCCTGCTTGAACTTGGCTGTGGCCAGGGCTGTGGTTTGGCTTGCATCCTTCTAGAGCGTTGTTGCCAGGCATGTAGACTTTTTTTCTTTTTCACTCTCTATGCCCCCCTTTCATTTTTGTATGTTGGCACTTCATTTCATGCGTCCCCAGAGGCCACATTTTGGGTTTTGATATATTTGCTCTTTTGGAAAGGAGACAATAATGCGAACAGATGCCTTTGACTATGAGTAAATCGCAGGCTGGGTGACCCTAGAAAGTGATAAACACGGGGAGACAGATTGAGCATGAAAAACGCAATGAGGTTTATTACTCATATGCACTCGCTAGGTTGGTAGGGTAGAGTGTTCTGACATTTTCCTCCAATGCATGTTTGTCACCATTTCTGTTACTGACATTTGGGGAGACTCAACCCCAAGCCGGAATCTTGGGGAAAATTTGTTTGAGGCTTTCGGAGGCGTGATTGGCAGATACCTGTAGGATCCAAAATGACACAACTTCCCTCCTTATCAGAAAACAGCCGGTGTTTGTAGCCCTTACGGTGGTTGGTGATGACACAGCTCCTTGGAGTTACTCTGCTCTTGTTAGAGGGCTCATGTCACAGTTGGGGAGCCACCAGGAAGCCACCAATCTTCCCTGGGGCCTCAGGGCCTGACACTGTTTTGCTCCGGTCCGTGTTATAAATGTCTGGGAAGTAGCAAAGCTCTTTTAAATGTGTGCCTTTGGAGTCAGACAGACCTGTGTTTACATTTCAAGTCTGCCTCTGTGTGACCTTGGGCAAGTTTCTTAACCTTGGTTCCTCTGTAAAGTGGGGGTGATGAGGAATTTTTTTTGTGTGAAATAATGCATGTAAAATTCTTAGCACAGAGCCTGCTGCATACAAAGTATCCCATAAGTATCAGAAGTGTGAATAAGTATCAGAAGATGTTTCTTGAATGAAAAAGTGAGCCGAATGAGCTATGACCTTGAGTCAGAGCAGAGGACACTTGATGCACATGGGGGACGAGGAGGCCAGTGGAGATGGGCTCCCGAAGGCATGGCTCAGTGTGTGCCGCTTCTCGCCAGAACCACTGGCTTGAAGACCAGGGTTTCTGTCTCTTGGCAAAATCAGGGAAAGTGGACTGAGTGGTCTTCGTTAACCTGCACTTGAATTTACTCTGTAGCTGCTGGACCCAATTCAGGGGATGGAAGAATCAGTCTCTTACCAGCGATTCCCTGGAGTTCTTCCTTCTTTCTTCGAGGGCCTGGGATTTAAGCATGGGTTCCATATCCACACCAGCCAAACCCCAGGGAAAGGATCAGATATGGCCACCCCGTACCAATGTAACCTTTGGTAGAATGTGAAAAAAAGCTCCAAGTATTATTAGAAGGGACAAAACCCTCACACTAACCTACAGCTAAGGCTTGAGTTTGATCCCTGTGTGTGTATGTACCAAAAAAAAAAAAATTCCAGGTGTGACAAACCATCTGGCTGGAATAAGTTTTGTGCTGGACTGTAATTACAAGCGATTTACTATGACTCTTGGGCTCCTGTGATGGGTCCTGACTGGCTCCTAGGTTTCTAATTTTGCAAAGAGTTCCTGTATAAGAGAGCGTGGGTCTTCTTTTTCTCAGACCCCGTGTTGTGACTCCACACCCACTCCGACTGCCCTTGACGCTTTGAACTCTTTGTATCTGAGGATCTTCCCTTCAGAGAAGAGATGCACTTGGGGGGTGGTCCTTCTGTCAGGGTGCAGCCAGATTTGCATAAGGCTGGTGTCACAGGTGCTCTGCTAGGGGACTGTGTTCACCTCACAGCTGCCTTGGGATGCAGGGAGTCGGTGTCCAACTGTGGCTGTGGGAGCTGTTCTTTAAAAAGCGGAGTCACTGCTCACAGTGCCAAGCTGCATATCTACCTGATCGCTGGTCTGGATTGCTTTGGTGGTAGCAGAAGGGCACTATTCATTTTTAAAAATATGCCTCTTTAATTTGCACTGTGACCACAATTACAGACTGCATTTGTGATATAAGGAAAACCATGAACATAATTCAAAGGGCCGTGACTCACAGAGTCTCGTGGATGCCACCATCCTTGTGAAGAAGAGAGGAGGAGAAGAGGGGCTTTGGAGGGCTTGGAGCCAGGACACCTGACTGTAGGTCAGCCGTTCACTAAGGGGCTGCAGGGTGGACAGCTCCCGAGCCCATCTCAGCCTCACTGGCCGCAAGAATACTCTCCGCACAGCAGTGGTTGTCAGCCCTGGCTGCACATCGGAATGACCTGGGGAGGTTGAAAACAACATCTAGGCCTGGTCCTTAGATAAATCACATCTGAGCTTCAGGGGGTGGGAGACAGCGCCGGTCTTAGCTAAGAATTGCACAGGGGTTCTGATTTGCAGCTAAGGGCGAGGACCACTGCCCCACAGGATTTTAAGGAGTAAATGAGATTAGTCCCCTAAGGGAACCCAAAAGGGGGGAAAAAAAGGAAACTGGATTATTCGGGTCAACCGCCAAAAATCATCCACCGACAACCAATAAGATGAAAAGCTGAAAGGTCTGCAACCAGCCCTGTGGGAGTGAGTGCAGATAGCTGAGGACTGATGCCCCCTCTCTCTGGGTGGCTGGACGGGCCCTGGGCAGCCTCATCAGTGTATCACCACATCGGCCTCAGGGTTCCTCCCCTAAAATGATGGTCCTTTTCTATGTGTGTCACCCAGTGGAAAAGTTTGAGCAACATCATTCCCATGCTGGCCTCGTTATCCCCATGCTTCTGTAGCCTTGCAAAGCCATGAGGGTGGTGAAATAAGATTGTAGAAATAGAGCTGTTGGGGTAATGAGGCCCAACCTCCCAAAGCTCCATATACCTCATTCTGGGGAAGTGGTAGTTGGGGAGATGGAAGGAGTGTGGTTCTGGAACTCTCTATGGTTCTGTTCATTTGAAAGGGGAGGAGATGACAATCTGGATACATTTTAGAATTAGCCCTTGTGAGCATCTTGGGAGGGATCTGGGACTCCTAGCGAATTTGAGGGCAGCACATACGCTGATATGTGCTTAGAACTGCTTCAGGGCTGGTGTATGGGCTTGGCTTGGACCTCCAGCTCACACACACACACACACACACACACACACACACACACGCATGTACGTATTTGCATGCATACACACACACCCTTCTCCTTGGTTTTGGACCAGAAATGGTGAGATCTTCCTTACTGTCATGACCTTGAAACCTACTGGGTACAGTTGTGAATCTCCTTAAGGTCATTGTCAGAGCTGAGGTAGAATTTCTCCTGCATGGATTCTAAGAGGGTTGTAGGTTCATCTCAAGATGAGAGTGCTTGAGGTCAGCCGCTCCTCTCAGATCAGCCCCGAATCAGGCAATGAATGTGGCAGTACCTGCCTTAACTCAGGGTAGGGCCTGGGTGTGAGTTTCACTTGAAATCCACCTCTATCCCCACCAAGCTGCCTAATCTTGAAAAAGTCACATACCTTCTCTGAGCAGCAGTTTACTTGTTTGTAAACAGGGCATAGTGGGAATACTCGTCTCGCAGGGTTTCAATATTAATAAGAATGAAAGCCACAGCAGCCAGCATTTAGTAGACACTTCTTAACAAAGCTCAAATCTTGTTGAAATTCTGTGACACAACATTTAGGGTTCATGGGTGCCCAGTCTACAAACAGGCATGTGCATCCTATTTGGGTCTTCTCTTAGTCATTTTAACAGCTAAGCTTTCAGGATACAACCAAAGATGCAAATACTCACCATCCTTTCATTAGCATATGTGCTAATATAATGCAGCTGTCCCTCGGCCATAAAACACTGAGGGACTGTGTCTCTGCTTGGCATGGGGAATATTTTTTTTTTCTCTTACTGAGCCGATTCAATACTCAACTTTGTCATTATTTGAGTTGGAACTTTAGATTGCTGCATTTTAATGCACTCTACTATTAAGGATTGTTGGACGGCCGTGTGCAAATATTTTTGTTCTCACGATGCAGTCCTGGCCCAGGTAGCCCAATGGGCAAAATATGATTTACACAAATATTATCATTTCTATAGTGTATACTAAAAGGTAACCTGAGAACAGCGCGGGAGAAAGCCTCTCTCTCCGCATTTGGTTATCTAGGTTACGTTGGCTTGTAAACAAGGGACTTTTCATCCCCTCTCATCTGCCCCTAATCTTAAAAAGTTCTGTGTTCCTGGATGGATATTTGTGTTCCAGAGAGAGCGAAACCCTATTTGCTATCGGAGTTTTCTTGCCAAGATGACGGCAAGATAGGGAGAGGGAAGGCTAGGGAAACCTCAGCCATGTGCTAGTATTTTGGGGATTCTGTTTGAAGTTTATTTCAAATGTCTCTTATCTCTTTGTGCCTAGAACAAGGAAGTGACCTGTAAAAGGGAGAAGTGCCCAGTGCTGTCAAGAGACTGTGCCCTGGCGATCAAGCAGAGGGGAGCCTGCTGTGAGCGGTGCAAAGGTGATTTACATCTTGGCTGCCTTCTTTTTTGGCTGTTGCTTCAGACAATTTTACTTCTCTTTCTCTCACCTTTCTCTTCACTCAGCCCTTGGCTGGGGTGCAAATGGATGTTGGGAGGGAAGCGTGTGTGTGTGTGTGTGTGTGTGTGTGTGTGTGTGTGTGTGTGTGTTCAGGGGTTTGTAGGAAGGGGGACTTTCCTAGGGGAGGGATGAAAGCAGAGCGAGCATCCGTCTATGTAGACAAGTTGTTAAAATGTCGCAGAGATGTCAATGTGATGCCTGTGCATGTTGGCAAGCACGCACACAGCATCTTCTGTACAGAAGTTGCAACACAGTTTCTCCAAGCCCCTCCCTCGCCCTGCCCACCTCTGCCAGAGGAGCCCTGAAGCCCAAATGTGATCATTTTGGTCCCTATTCAATTTTTTCTTTTCTTCCAAATTAAATCTAAATTCTTCCCTTTGTCCTTGAAGTGTCTCTACAATACCCTACGCCAACCTAATTTCCCATGGCCTGCCATGCGCTTGTCTCTCTTGAACATGCTCTTCCTGTCTTACCTTTGCCTTCCTTAGCTCAGGTCTGTCCTCCAGACCTGTCCAGATGCTGCCTGTATTCCAGGTTCCCAGCCCTCACTCACTGGCCACTTTCCCCTCTAAGTTTCTGTGGCAGAGGGAAGTTTACACAGACACTTCAGTGGTGTGCCTTTTCTCCTTTGTTACCTCATCTGTGTTCAGTGGAACATCTGCCCTTGAGGACAGCAGCCAGGCCAGGCTCTGACACCGCCTGGTGCATGGTAGTATATGTGGGAATAGCGCTTAACAGAGTGGGTTCCCCAGGAGGCCAAAGGAGCACAGTGGCTCAGGGTGTGGGCTCTGGAGTCACACTGCCAAGTCCTAATCCAACAATCCTGGGTCACAGAGAGTGTTCCCCAAAAGTTCATGTCCACTAGGAGCCACAGAATGTCACCTCATTTGGAAATAGGATCTTTGGAGATGTCATTAGTTAAGATAACATCCTACTGATTAGATGGCCCCAAATGCAATATGACTGGTGTCTTTCTATAAAGAGAAGAAGACAGACAGACAGAGATGCACTGGAAGGTCGCCATGTAACGAGAGAGGTGATAGAAACACGTGGGCTGAGATTCAGATGCAGTCGTACTGTGGGAGGGGACAAGGCACCTGTCATTTTAAAAAAACCCTAGGAGATTTAATGTGCAGCCTGGGTGGGGAAACCTCTGAAAGAGTTCTTGACCTAGGACCAGGTAATTTCTATCCCCGCAGAAGAATTTACGTTTTGGGGGACTAAGAGGCGGGAGATCTAAAAGAACTGTCAGAGAGAAGTCTACAGACACCAGGCAAATGAGAGCCCATTTTTAGTGACAACGCATGAGTCTCTATATTCAAGGAAGATGCTGTGAACTTTTCCAAACACGCTGCTATACAAAAACCATGTGTCAAGTATTGATGTCAAGTTGTTTGTTAATAGCTATAGTTATTATTGTCAAGTATAATAATTTTTTGTTAAAGACTAAAAATAACCAAGAAAGAAACAAATAAGCAAGCAAGCAAGCAAGCAAACAGATAAACAAAATAAGAGAGTCAGAGATTGGCGCTACCGTAGGTCACAGAGTGCCTGGGATCACCAGGAAGTAGGGACAGGCAAGGAGGGATTCTTCTCTAGAACCTTCAGATGGAGCTTGGCCCTGCCGGCACCTTGTTGTTGGACTTCTAGTCAACAGGAGTGTGAGGGAATAAGTTCCTGTTGTCTTAAGCCACGAAGCTTGTGGTCATTTGTCACAGTGGCCCCAGGATACAAGTGCCCCATCATCCCCACTTGGGCAGGTAGACACATGGACCCTCTCTCTACCCAGTTCCCTCACCTGTAAATTGAGCGTAATCATTATGTTGGGAGGAATGAAATGGGAAGATACATTCAAAGTGTTTAGTGCAGTGCCTGGCAAGTAAATATTTCTCACTTACTATAAGCATAGTAGGTCCTCTGTAAGTACTTGACAGACTTGAGTATCAAAACATATTTTCTGAATCCTTTGGAGCAGGTTTTTTTTTTCTGATCCTTTGCTCTCCTCCTATTTTGATGGTTTAAAAATATTATTAGCAAGATGGCATAAGAAATAGAGTAAAATAGATAATGGCCAGTAAATATAGCTCAAATGTCAAAGTGCTGGTTAGTGCTTATCAAAGCTCTTGTTCAATTTGTCAATTGTGTAAATAAATGACAGCGGGGGACTTGAGCCCCAAGAACTGGCTAACCACCACCCATTATCTGCTGAGATATTTTTTTCCTTCTAACGCCACCTCCTTCCTCTCCTTAGCATAATTCCTTTTAATTTTAACTTTAGTGAGATAATTATTACATTAATACATTATCATGCTAAAAATTTTAAACCGTAAAGGGAGAGAAAGTCTTTTTTGAGCTACGAAACCCCACTCGTCTCAGAAAAAACAACTGTCATCCATTTATTGTATGCCTCTCAGACCATTTTCAGTTTATTACATATATATATATATACATACACATGTATATGTAATTTTGTATGTCTGGTTTTATTTTTACACAAATGGAATTAAACAGTACATATTTTTTCACAGGTAAGAAACTCTCAACAATACTATGACTTAGAAATTGTCCCATGCCACAGAAGTTCGTGCTTCTGTGTGGATTTCATGGCATTACATACAATTATTTAACTTCTCCCATGGACGTTTAGATTTTTGGTTTTTGGCCAAGTTGCCGGGAACCAACTTGTCACTCCTGTTGTGGCCGTGGCTGTATGCTTCTGTGTGAAGAGGCGAGCACATGGCAACTTGTCATGGACGTTATTCAGTGGCCTCCCAAAATGGCTGGGCTAATCACCTTTCTTATTCTTTGAGAATTTTTAAGCTCTTTTTTCCAAAAAGATGATAGGCTAGAGGAAGGAAAGCTGATATTACACATGGCAACATTTAGGCAAGTCTGCTGTTTTTGCCTTAAAAACTGGCCCAAACAGCCGTATTGCCCAATACACAACCCATATAACTGATTCCTCATTTCGACCGCCACAGGCGTACTCCTCTCCCAATTCTTCCCTGTTCTGCATGTTTCCCATGATACAGGGGATATTTTCCTCCCCTTTCTGTGGCGTATCAAGTTTCTTTTAAAGAACCTAGCTGATTACCATCAATTTCTTTTGTGTCTTTCCATGAAATGCCAAAAGCACTGACAGTTGTCAGCAAGTTAAGACTCGAATGATATCATTTTAGCAAAATGTGGCCCGATGCTGAAGAACTGCAGTTATAGAATCAATGAAGTTTAGAGTATAGGTTCGATGAAGAAATGGGAAATGTTTTACTTGCCTCTTATTTCTAAGACTGACTTTTTAATGAGAAATACCATCATCATCATCATCATCTTCATTTTTAAACATACTCCACAGTTGAAGCCTTTGAAGGCTCTTTGAGTTTATTACTTTCTGTTTGCTTGTTTGGATGCTTCCAGTATGGGGGAAGGCTGGAGAGAAGAAGGCATAGTATTAACTCATTCTTTCTTGGACAGTCTACTAAAAAATTTGAGCCGCTTAAAATTCCCATATTATGCTATGTTTATGTTTCTATTTTATTCTAGCTGCACTACCATATGGTTGGGACACTTCTGTAACTAAGTTCATAGTTTATTTACAATAATGCGGAGCCTAGTTTCATTCCTTTAAATCATTACAGAAGTTTATATTTAGGGCATCTTGGTCTTGGTGACCACGGCCATTCTTTATGGGTTGTTTTTTGGGCGGGGGGTGGTCATTCCCATTCTTTGCTTGGAGCCAGTGGCTGGTCAGGAGCACAACCCCTCTGTGATGACACTGTTCCTTGTGAAAGCTGTGGGCATTTGCCTTTCCATTTACTGTCGTTGAAGCCCTGATATCTCAGAAAATGAAAGGAAGGTGGCAAAATATAAATACCGGGGGTGCCAAAAAAATGTATATGCATAACTTGTATTCATCTTTAGTTATCAGTATATATTGAGAGTTACAATTTTAATACAGTTTTTTCCTTTCTTAAAACATGTATACATGTTGTGGGCACCCTCTGTATTTCTTCTACATTGGTTTCCAAAATCAGGACAGTCATCCTAGGTGGAGGGTTGTAAGGTATGAATCATCTGGTGGACGCCTTTACCCTCACCTCTTATCTCCATGATAGTCCCAAAGGGACTTGTTTTCCCACGATGCTGGATATGGGGTCAGTTGATTTGTGCTCATCACTGAGTCTTCACAACAGCGAGGGAATTTCTATCTTTCTCATTTTACATATGAGGAAACTGAGGGCCCAAAGAAGTTAAATCATTCATTTGGCAAGGTGTTAGTGACTGAAAGAGCAACCAAAAGGGTGTCTATGTCCTCAAGGAGATTGCCCCTTGGGTGGGGAACACAGAAATACCATCCCGTGGGGGAGGTAAGCCAGAGTGCAGAGGGGAACGGGAGGGGGCAGCTCCTGGGCGAGGGGTTGTGGGGTGTGCCCCGGAAGGCTTTCCAATAGAGGCAGCCCGCTTTCATGAGCAAGAAGGAGTTAATCACATCCCAAAGGGCTGTGCAGGGGAAAGTTCCCGGGTAAAAACCTTGGTCCACAAAGGCACAAAGTAGTTCTTAGGCACCGCCTGCCACTCATAATTACCTAGGGAACTTGTTAAAATACCAGTTCCTGGGCTTCCCTCCAGATCTATTGAATTAAAACCAGTCTGGAATAAGTTTTTTTATTTGTAAGTTGTTGATTGTTTGGGGGTGGGGAGAGCAGTCAGACAAAAATGTAACAGAATTCTGTCATGACTTCTACTTAACTTTCCTCTGAAAGAGATGTTGGTATTGAAAAGGAAGCAGTAGAATAAATCTGCCTGAGGACAGAAATATGAACACTGCTATTTCCAAAAGGATTCTTAAGGGTGTGTATGTGTGTGTGCATTTGTGTTTCTGTTTCCTTCAATCTGATCGCTCATGTGATTCATTCGTTCATT